GACCTCCTGCACATTTCAGACAAGCGACCTGATTGGCTGTTACAATTGCTTGACGAGAGCAACACTGAAAATCGCCCGCACAAGCGATGAAGGAGAGGTAACCGCTTTGATAGCCTGCCACGATCAGACCCAAATTGCAAAATGCACTCCACGCACACACTTAAATGAACTCGTGTTTCATTTTTCCACAGCGGATGTCGACATCTCCTGCTCTGCGTCGTGCCCGGGAGACTCTGCTAACATCAGTATCGAAGGAACTCTTGCGTATTTCGATGATGGCCTTATCGATGCCGGACGAAGTGTTGGCAGTGAAAGCAGAAGCTCACCAAGTGACATATCCATTTTCTCAGATGTTTTCTCGAAGGTGGCGAAAGGTGTTCAAAGCCTCGCCTATTCTGTGCCATCCTTTTTCCTTCAGGTATCTGATCTAAAATTTCTCTTTTCGTTGGCCATTGTATTGTTCCCTCTAACACTTATTTCACGTACTTATCATACTATGTTTCCTATTAAGCCTATGCCGAAAAAGGACCACTAATCTTCTGCTCGCGGGAGTTTCTGTACCAGAATTATGTTTTTGGCCTTCTAGCTAATTTCGCCATGAATCACTCGAACGAAAGGATTATCCACCCACCAAAACATAAACATAAATAGCAAAACATAACATGAATCATATTCCTTCATTTTCCAGGAAATATCACTTNATCAGAAGAGAGCCTGAATTTCTTTGTGGAGTATTTAAGCCTTCCTGTTTAACGTAATTTTATTGCCTTTGCATGCCTCAATAAAGGCTTCACCATATCAAGCTGCGTCCATCGACAGTATATAAACTGGAGGGCTTGGAAAGACCAGGTCAAGGATATTATCACCTCTCGTAGAAACCCAAACATGCTGTGTGAGGTCATGGCCTAGGATTAAATCATTAAGACAAGCTACAGCAAAATTGTTGGAAAACACCCGATTTTGACAACCAAATCCCGGCAAGTTGAAATCACCGCTTGATCGTACTCGCGTGGAGTTCTACATGAAGATGGTTCGGCCTTCTCATCAAAGCGAACTTGGAGCACAATCAGATTTATTGACGAAAGATACATTCAGCGAGAACATGAATGATAAGTTTAGCATATACGTAAATCACCCCTTTTTATCCTGCATCGTATGCTCCGCCCTCTACTGCCGTTCATCGAGACCACGGTCACGACACTCCGCCCGGGAGAGCCGCCATAAATAGAGCTTGTATTACGGGGAACCCAACTGCTGACCGATTGTGCGACACTCAGCCACACGAACATCAGTGTGTTTCCCTACGCGTTTTCTATCATGCCGAAGGAGGGAGCGAACACTCCAGCCAACACATGAGGCGTAACGCGCTAAATTACGATTGGCTAGTGCCACTCTCCTGCTGCGAGCGTCAAAGTGATCATTGACTATAGAAGAAGCCGTGAACTAAGTAATTATGCGTTAACATTATAGGACACAAGTTTGAATTCTGCTGCGCGGAGACAATAATCTCCCTTCCAATGATAGATGAATGTCCAGAATTGACACGATTTCTTTCATTGCCTACGAAGGCATTAAACAAACTATTTCTTCTACTGGGGAAACATATATGGGCACAATGCCGACACATGGTGCTCTACTTGACCGAGGCGTCTATGATTACTACAATGGTAACAGACAACTCTTATACACTTAGCATCATGATTTGCTTAATTGGAAGCTGTTAAAGCAGAACTTGAGCTGCCGCATTCTATCTCTACGATCGCTCAAAGTGGGGATGACGTCACATTCCGTAGCGAACTGATAGGTCGATAAATTGCGTGCGAACTTGCATTTTCCTTTTTCGACCGATCTGCTCGCAATAGAAAACTGTGTACGCTCTCTTCATTTTTTTTCCGCTGGTTCTACACCACTTGTCGACAGTTCAGCAGAAGGGACAGCTTCCGTCGTACTGGTTGCGTTCCCTGGAGAAATCGTTGATCCGTGAAGCAGTGTGCGTAGTTGGTCCTCCACCACTTTGACTGCATTTCGTGCTTCTTCGGTTATTTTCTCTTTTATGATTGCTTCCTGTCTTAGTTTATCTAGTTGACGAGAAATGTTCGTGACGAGAGATGGAAGAGGACATGACAAGGTCTCGTCTACTACGGGATTTTCGTCTGAGGGTGTTTCACTGTCGCGTGTGTCGGGAGAGGTGTCGTCGTTGACTTCCCTTTCGTCCTTATTCGACGACATTCTTAAGAAAGACTTCCGTTTTGTGGTGTTTAAAGTAATTGGAGTACTGTTTACATACGAAATGTTCTGAAAGTACGAAATACAACTTTAAACGATGCGTGAAGTAAGGTAAATATAATCCGGTATAATGTTCTTAGAATTGAAAAGGCTAGAATGACTGGTAGCAAGCAAGGAATCTTCGTCATGATTGCAATGGATCCAGAGCGTCTGCTGGCACTAAGTTTAGAAATTAGAGTAAATGGTACGACACTTGCTATGAAAAACATATCGCTATTGTAAATGAATAGATGAAGTAGCTTTCGATTACTTCAAGAGGATGCCAAAGGTCGGGTAACCAAAACTCCGAGTTTTCGTCTGGTTGTCTGCTAATTTTACGAGCCGAGAAAATGCGGGACGATGACGAAAGTAGTTCGTAAAATTGAGGTGTCCCAGAAGTTCGATTACGAGAGTGTTGCGTCCACACACGCATGTACAAGTGTCGTTTATCTGATCTGTGCTTTTGAATAGAAGGAACGGATAGCTGTTTCGTTCTCATTACGATAGCATGGAATTGCGAATGATTGTGAAGAACATTCTACTTGTGCGAGAACATTCTTGATGATCGACTGGCAGGTAAACGTGGCTACCGCGCCTTTTAAACAACCATAACGTCCTTTCAAGGGAGAGGAAATTACCGAGCACGTGAACCGATCTACAACACTCCGAATACGAGCTTTAGATATATTAAGAGCTAATGACAGTTTGACAGATGCCATTTGTGTTTGCAATTCTTGGTCTATTTCGGGAAATTGAACTCGGTGCAAATATTAGGGTATGTAAGAGGAAGAGTTGATTTCAGACTGAATATTTCCTCGCTACGATCGTCGGTACAGTAACAATTCACTTCGTCTTACGCAGGAGTACAAGTACAAGTATCTTTCACTGTACAGTCTTCTAAGTGAGTAATATTTGAGTTTGCGCAGGCGTATGTGAATCGTGTGTTTGATAGGATTATTGCTGTGCTAGTATTTATAGGAATAAAAAGAGAATTCAGCAGAGAAAACGGAGGAATCGCCAAGTTTGTAACGGAGATAATGTCATTAAAAATCGTCTTTTGTACGCTCGGTTGAAGAGAGAGTAAATATTTACGCGTTTTCCAGAAAAGAAAAATTCCAAGGCCTACGTTCACGGTTTCGTACCAAGTAGAACATTGAAAAACTTCGTATGCCTCTTCACTAACATGTTTTTATACCCTCTATAAAAAGAGAGCAAGCCACAGCTGCACCCCCAAAATCCACACGATTCCGTACAGTACGTTATTCCTGGACAGGCGTAGCTTCCCAAATTCCGTTGACGAGGATCGTGGCATTAATTGTTCCACATTTTCGCCCAGTACACCTTCCTTTAGTAGGGCATCTTTTTCGAGATTGAGCTTTCGTTACGGTTTTACGGTGAAATATAAGGTTTCCTTATTACATGTGAGAATAACGTCATGTAGATTGATTTTGATTTGTTCGAATGTCATGTTTTTCGAGAATATTACGATACATGCTTCGCGAGTCAGTGGACTGACCTTTAATGAGAGTGTGATTACGGTAGAACAACTTGAGTTTTAATTTCCGTTGTTACAGGGAATGTGAGCTGACATGACGTGACTAGTGAGAACATAGAGACAAAGGATGCGAGGGTGACGATATTGATAAAGGAAGACCTTTTAAATGCTGTACGAGATCGATGCGTTGGAATCAGTGGAAGTTCTTCCCTCGATGTTGTAAGCTGTTGTGCCGATTGAACACAAACGTCGATAAGCGCGCGGCAGCATCTTCCGCTTCGAAGACATAAACAAAATGCCAGCGTGAAGGAGAGTGCGATGAAATAGAGTAGAATTCGGATCAGCGCGATCGCTGTCCTAGGCCAGCACTCAGGATTTACGATCATTACGAGACAAAAATAATAGTCGATCATTTCGCAAATAAGACTCGGAGGGCAACAGATGCTCCTCGTTACGATTTCGTTACCTAATTTAGCCTTAATATGTACATTATATACGTGCAGACATACTTCTGCAGGGAACATTATGCTGATTTCGTTTCGGAGTACAGTAGTTTGCACGCAGTGATCGTCTGCGCAAAATTGAATGCCTGTGAACGGCGCAAGGCGTTGAGAGCTACGCCTCCTTCAACACACTTTGCTTTCAAGTTTGTTCTTCGCGTACTGCTTAATTGTTCTGTAGAAACTGTTCCGAAAATTCCGAAAATCATCATCAAGCTTAGCAAAATGTTGAAATTCAATAGTTTTTCTGTACGCTATAAGGGATTATACTAGAATATTCCGCGCAGGAAACTATCTTTTCTGCTTTGCGATCCGGTTGCTTTCGTATTTCTTGATATTGCGACTGTGGACCTGTATCAGTCAATTTTTTTCGGCTTTTTCTGTAGCTTTTTCTTCCGATACTGGTAATTCTAGTGGGATTAGCATGCTGATGGATCTTCTGATTATTTTCCGAATAGGACAACGCACGCTTACGGTTTTCACATGATCGTCTGCTCCAGGGTGTAATTCCTGGATTATTTCCATTTTCCAATGTGTACGAGGAGAATTTTGCTCTTGTAAAAGTACGTTGGAACCGTTGGAGTCGCCTATACGTGGATCATCTCCTTTTTATCCTGCATCGTATGCTCCGCCCTCTATTGCCGTTCATCGTGGCCACGGCCACGACACCGCTACCACACTACGTTTACCACACGATAGTAAATCACTGGAGACTTTCGTAAGGAGCCCAAAATTATCGTTTAAACCTGAGACAGATTTATAAACGACTATTACTCTATGGCTGGCTCCTTCGCAATATAAACCTCATTCTTCCGTCTTGCATTGAAACGACGCGAGGTTCGTTTCAATGCAAGACGTTGAAAATCATGAGATGGCGAAACAACTTTCAGTAATCTATCTCTACCTATTCGAGTGCCCCTCAAGTCGATAGACTGGGTTACACTCTTCTACATCCAAACATCAAGAATGTTACAAACACTAGCATCATACAATCATACGAATCACCAACATCATACGAAATACGATCTCTGAGATTCGATGACTTCAACTCTGCTACTCCAATAACAGTGATAGAACGTTGTCTCTCAACTTCTTGATAAGGCACCAGTACCTCTGGCGACGGTGATTCCATATCAGAGGCTTGGTGCAGCTGAGAACCTTGCACATGAGTGATATCATTTCCAATTGACGAATCATGAGGGAAATCCTTTCGAACGTTCACGAGTTCGTGCCTTACCAGGGAAGGAACCCAAGTCGGAGTCGTTTGAAACGAGACCTATACTGCTAGGCGTAATTTCGGATGCCGATTTTCAGTCTGCTTTCCGAATTTGATAAGCGATTATCAGAAAAGATGATTTTAGGGAGGCCCAAAATAAGCGAACCCTGATTACAGAGACCGGACAGTTCCACCAGCGGCGGATTGGAGCATTGGTAAGGGTGACGCTTTATAACTGATAGACTAGGCTTCGGGTTTTGTGGGTGGGGAGCGAGAATTTTGCATTTCATTGGAGTTTTTCCCTGTAGCCTAGAAACTCCTTTGCTGTTGATTTTATCGCGTTCTACGCTGCGACCTTTCTGATAGTTGTGATGAAAAAGTTCTTACTCAAACCATGCAATATCGTTTCAATTTTTTTTGCCTGTAAGCGGAAACAGAATTGACGAAACGAGTGCCAAATCAGTGTCATTTGACCGTGGTGAGTGCGCTAACAAGGAAGGTCTTTCAGGGCGTGGGACGCTTTTTGAAAATGGTCTTTTGCATGGTATAGGGGCATGAGCACTGAGTATAGAACTATGGTACATTCCCGCTAAATGGCCTTCTGAATGCCAAAAAAGAGTGAATATGACTTGCCAGAAATTGCATTTAAACACTCTAAGCGTCGTTTGTTTCGTTCATGGCGTCGACTGTCCACATAGTAGAAGGCGCCAGTGGACTGGGCATTGGAAATAATGTGAACGGTAGCCAAAATAGGGCTGACATGTTGAAAAGTGCGGGGAAGTTTCGTATAAGCTGTCCGCGGCTGAGCTGGCTGGCAGCGACGGCTGGTGTGGTGGATAGCGATGCGGACTTTGGGCTGGGACGGCTGCTATGGTTTGGTGGTTCGGATCCGGGAGGAGCTGCTTTTGCATTTTACGCTGCCATCTCCAGATTGGCTCCATATTGCATCAGGGCCAACGCAATGAGCAAACCTGTGTGGAGCGAATATCATTTGTGGATGTTGTCCGCTCTCAAGACATCTCGCGATCATCGTCGGGACCGGACCCAGTTAGCATTCCAACACTGTCCCGTGTGTCTTCGATGCTTTCATGAGAAGAATCGATAACGGAAATTTTCCGATTGATCCGGAGATCTCGCGTTATCTCCCACGAAAAAAGCATCTGTAGACGAGAAACAAAACAACGGAGTAGCGTATATACATACTCCACTGATATTGTTATTCGGTTAAATGATATTCGCTACACACGTTTCGGTGAAGGAATTCGTGTTGGCCTGCCGTTCACGTTTTTAGTCGGTGTCATCCTTCAAAATTGACAGCTTTTCATCGAGCAACTTCTCGGTCGTGCCAGAGTAGGCGGCCATGGGTCGTAGAAGGCAGCACCTCGTTCGTTTTTCGGTGCATCTGACGCGTAGGAGCTACGTTTCACCAAACCGGCTCTATTAGGGCAGAGCTACACAGTCAGTGCATAGTTGGCAATCTTCTTCGGTATGTTTTCCATGGACATGTTCCCGTGTGAACGGCTGCGGATTTGGATTCCATCGAGGGAACCTCAGCCAGGCGTTGGGCTCTCGAGTTCGCGATCGGGATCAACGCCTGAAAGGGCACGCGTGGACGTGTCAATTAAAAAAATCATGGAGTGGGTACCAGTACTCACTAGAACGAAAATCCAGTCCGGCACTCGGCTCTTACAGTAACCCCCTGGCTTACTCCACCACCCGCCCCCGTGTCCGTGGCCAAAACCCCTTTTCGACGCGTCGTATGTGTGACGGGCAAAAATCTGCGTGTTAACACGTGCCGGATTACCGTAAGAGTGCCGAACTGAATTTTCGTTCCTGTCCGATACTCAGAAAATGATGACAGATCCGAGCCATCTCTGCAATATTCCATTACACCCATGAATAACTTCAAAGGTCATGGCCAATGTACATACATACAGGCCATGATTTAGCCTTAACAGACGTTTTTGGTATCAGTCGTAGGAGTGAGCGAGATGTGGAAGTATGCGTTGTACGGTGCAGTGGCGCTGGTACCAAGTGTGCCCGGAGATGGAATACGACTAGGTGGGTGGCCAGGCCAGTTTAGTCGTCCTCCTCCACCCCTCTGGCTCATTGCTTTGGCCCTGGTGCGATATGGAGCCAATCTGGAGGTGGTAGCATAAACTGCAAAAACAGCAGCCCCTCCCGTATCCGAATCACTACACCATCCCGTCCGTCCCAGCCCGAAGTCCACATCGCTATCCACCACACCATCCGTCACTGCCAGCAACTCAGCCGTGGACAGGTTATATGATCTTCCCCGCATTTTTCAACATGTCAGCCCTGTTTTGGCTACCGTTCACGCTATTTTAATGCCCAGTCCACTGGCGCCTTTTACAGTGTGGACAGCCCACGCCATGAATGAAAAAACGACGCTTAGAGGGTTAAAATTTCAATTTCTGGCAAAATCATATTCACTCTTTTTTTAGCATTCAGAAGGCCATTCTGGAAATGGACCATAGTTCTATACTCAGTGCTCATGCCTCTACATCACAGAATTGAAAGTATGCAGGTGATAGTAAGCAAAGTCGCAAGTGAATAAGCGATAGTTCACATTGGGAGCTATTGCGTGTGAGGTGATGATCATATTTTCGAACGGCCAAGAAGTGAGCTATGATTGGCTGTACCACCCTCGGGGTACAAGCTGTTCATTACCTTCTCCCTCTCTCGTAGAGGTAAGTATTCGGAGCCATCACGCATGATCGTACACACTCTGAAACCATGAAAGACTTTTGACCAATGGGCCATCAATGAAAATGCAAGGCATAATGGCGAAAGGATGGGTGGTTGCAAATAGCAGCCGCCTCACTTCATCTACTTTCCTGCAATCTCTTGGGGTCAAAGATCGCGGAGTGTGCATATTGTTCTGAATTTCATCGTGGATATAGAGGATTGACAGAATCGGGTTTTTGGAGTTGACCGATCCTGCCTTTGGAATGCGCCCCGCACTGCACTCGATTACATACATAATGGCGTGTAGGATGCGTATATGGTCTCTGCAGTGATTTGCGGAGGCTATTCAATGTACAGGTCCACCCCGACTAGATTGCTACCAATTAACGGAGGGATAGAAGGCTTGGTTGGCCTGAACAAAGTTCCATCTCCGGACATTCGTGTGTGATGGTGCGCCTCTGCTACTATACCGCATTCGCCCTAGTATGAATATAGCATGAACAGAGATGAAAAAAAAAATTGAAGCGTTATTGCATGTTTTGTGTAAGAACGTTTTCACCACAACTATCAAAATGTCGTAGAACGCGATAAAATCAACAGCAAAGGAGTTTCTAAGCTACAAGGAATAACACAAATCCCAACAGAATCACCTCATAATTCCATTCAGAGAATTTCTTGGCTAATTTGGAAAGCAGATTCGAGATCAGCGTCCGCCTTGCAGTATAGGTCCCATATTGACTTGGGATTCTTTCCTGGTTGGTTCAGCACTTTCAACATGTAGCGAATGGAGTTCTAATATTGTCGCATTAATTACATTCTTGATATCCTCCACCACGCGACTGGATTCCATTAAAAGCGCAATTTGTTCCTGTAGCTTTTTGGGCACGCATACGTAAGTTATTACCATACCATCACAGCTTTAGTCAATGGACCCTGAGACTTGACACTTCTTAGCTTCATGCAAAATGAAGACCAGCGAACAGGGCCAGTGCAACGCAACAAACGTACAAAGGCAATATACCTGAGGAAGTGGCACTTTTACAGGCTTTAATTACTCACGTCCTACTATGAGCAATGTGTGATCCTTCGATGCAGGTGTGGAAGCAGACCGAAATAGCTCAGTCGGTGGATATGAGATTAACAAGAGAAGAAAGCCGATGGGTATGAGAGAAACAAGAATAGAGCAACTGTACACGATCAGTCAGAGGCGACAAAACTTATGCACTCCCACGTCAGCGCCTGGCAAGCTACTCTTGATTATCGGTACGCCCGGTGATATAAAAAAGGCCTTATCAAAAGTTCATATCCATAGCCCTTATACAGGGTGACCCACATGAGTGTGACGCAGAAAAATATCATCAAAATTATACAAATCAAACCAAACGGGAAAATATTACTCCTACATAATCATCACAAAATTGTGTACAACTATCACATCTCGCATGCAGTATAACCATCTTTCGCTTTAATGCAAGCATCCAACCTCTTTCGGAAGTTTCCAAGAATGCGCACAATCACTTTCATCCCACGCTTCTACAAGAGCACTTTCTTTCAGAAGTTTTTAGGACCTGTGTTTGAAAGCGCAGGTTTTTTGCTCTAGAATCGACTATACAGCAAAATCCAAAGGATTGAGATCGGGGAATATGAAGGTCAAAACTGCTTCGCCCCAAAAACCCGGAAGCGTGGTTTCACAACATTGCAGCAACTTCTTTGTGCTGTGGGCTGGTGCCCAATCCTGTGGAAAGTTCAGCTGACGTTTATCGCTTTCCTTTCCACCCAAGCGATCACCGCTTCCTCCAGCCCAGAAGCCCATAAGTTGATTTTTTTATTGCCCGTCACACTTCATGTGGGTCACCCTATAAACTTCATAATACCAAGATGTCAAAACTGAAACCCAAGTCCTTTGTCAGCCTTTATCAACTATTATTACTTTCCACGACTATTTATT